TGAGAGGGCCAGGAGCAGGAGGGCATGGATGCTGTCCGTAGAATATGGTCCTGCCCTGCTCTCCTTCAGGTTCTGACATGCCTGCCTCCAGACCAGAGGTTCTGCGCCTGCACACTGCTGTCCTCCTTGGACGTCTGCTCCTAGGTAACGGGGAGAGAGAATTTTGCTCCAGACTGGGGGCCTCAGGGCTTGGGGTTCCTCCTAGAGCTCCATGCCCCCAGGAGCAGGGAGCGGAGTAGATAAAGGGAAGTGTGCTTCCTCTCTCAGGTACATGAATACCACGGGGGGGGTTGGTGGATACAAAGGCATGAGATCATGCCTGCTTAGGGTTCTCCAACAAGCTCAGCATTGGAAACCTCTTCTTCTGCCCTGTGACCACGTGGGAGAGTAAACGTAGAGGGAGAATGGAGAAAAGGATGTCATTTGGTGTTTTTTTGAAACCCCTGTAAATTTTTCTCTCTGAGAATAAGGCCCTCAATGGGACATGGTCTGACACTTATGACATGAGCTGCCATTTGGCTAATAGGTTTGCCCTCACGATCACAATCCAGAGAGGTATTTATACTCTTTGAAACTACCCTGGAACTCAGAGGGGAGGGGTTAGGCCATAGGACCATAGAGTTTTGGGTGACAGTGTGCTTGGGGAGGTTGAATACGGGCATCTGGCAGGTGTGGCAGAGCCCCGGGAGCCATAGGAAATGTCTTCCTGGACTGAGAAGAGACGTATCATCAGCCACGCCATAGAGAGAGATGGAGCTTGTTCCCACAGCCCCCACAATTCCCAGCATCTTTGGACAAGTCTGACCCTGGAGGACGAGTCTGATCCTGTCTCTGAACCTTCCAGAAACAGTGGAGGAGTATATTTGAGACATGAGAAACTCCAGGGATGAGCAGGGTCAGTGGGGGTTCACGTAACGAATTTAAACCCTCTTAGCTCCCCTCAACATAGTCCTAAGAGACCTGATGCTCCCACTTGGGATGTCACAGGCTTGTGACAGTGAGCTCAGGTGACGTCACCTCCAGTGATCAGGGGAGACTGGCATTTCCTTTCAATGCAGAGGCCTGAGAAGAGGCAGATGTACTGAGTGGGGGAGAAATAGAGCTTGCAGAAAGGATGCTACAGAATCAGCCAGACTTCAAACATGCTAGCATGTTTCTAGATGCTAGAAATATGCTAGAGAATGCTAGGGAATGAAAGGAAGAGCCACATTTTCTGTGTGGTTGTGGGCATATTTGCTGTGGGGCAGCAGGAAGGAGAGGGAGGGGCACAGCCTCCTATTTTATTCTGTAGCTCCTGGTATGGCGAGCTTATCTCGTACCAGAGCCAAACACTGAGAGTTCATTTATTTTCATCAGGAGTTCTTACATAAGAAGTGGATCCAAAGATTTGTTTTTCTTGGAAATGACATCATGGGCAATCCCTTGGGGGAGTAAGTAGCTGGGGCTGGGTGACCAGCGCCTCATCACTCACTCATAAGGGCTTGGTCAGGGACTCAGGCAAAGGGCAGGCTAAAGGTGGATTCCCAGTGTGCAGGAGGCTACCGCTTCTCACCGGAGGAAAAGACTGACCCACTGCAGGGCAGCCTAGAGGAATTGGGTTTTCAGGACCTGAGTCTTCCAGATAGTGGGGAGACAGACCTCCCCGGGGGTAACTCAGAGCACTGAGAGTAGGGATTCCTGCACTGCCACCCTGGGCCAGCAAGCCAGCCGCCAGCAGCGCCCTGCAGGGGAAGCACACTAGTAGGGGAGGGGATGGCTGGGACCAGTGGAGAGAAGGTTTCCTGGTGCCTGAAAATGTGGGGACTCGCTAGAGGCTGATGAGATTGAAAAGACAGATGAAAACTCTCATCTGGCCATTCTCTTTATGTTTCCTGCTCCCTCTCCCTCCCATGTTTTCTCCTTTCCTGACTTTTCTTCCTTCTTCTGTTTGTAAAACAAGCTTTCCCTGCTGCTGTGCTTAGAGGCACACTTTTCTTTGCATCATTAGGAAGGGAGCCGGCATGGTGGAGGGGGCGGGAATGGTGTCTCGAGGGAGAGGTGTGCCCTCCTGCTTGAGTCTCGTGGAGGCCTGTCCAACAAAGGTTGAACGCAAGGGTGTCTGAAAGGTCCTGTGCTCTCCTCATTTGTGCCCAGCGGCTGCAGCCCCAGAGGACCCTCCCTGAGTTGGAAGTTATCACCCCAACTTTTGGTGCTCCAGGTCAATGAACGGGAGCCGTTTTCTCAGCTGCATGTAAACATAAACACACGTGCGCACGTACGCGCACACACACACGCTGGATGTGCAGTAGAAAAATAGAGCTGCAAATTAAAGCCTATGACTGTGTCAAAATGAAAGAGAAAGACAAAGGAAATAAATCCCAGAAGAGACAAACAAGCCTAAGTGGCACTCGTCCCAAAGGGATGCGAGGGGACAACGTCAAGGACTGCTCTAGTGATGGACATCCACAGGGCTCCAGGCACACAGAGCCCCAGAGCTGAGGCAGACAAGAGCTGGGACCCGAGCAAGCCCGGGGGGATGGCTCCCCTTACATGGCCTCGCATCCTCCAGCCTCGGCAGAGTAAGCAGCGAGCTAAGCCCTCAGGAGGGAAGCAGAGTACAAAGGAAAAGCACCTCTGACCACATTGGAACTCCCAATTACCACTGAGTGGCCCATGGGCCTGGCCCTTGAAAGGGCAGAGACAGGCCCACGTGGCTGGTCTTCACCAAAGCCTGGGTGTGCTCTGTGCAGCGTGCTTTCTAGGCTGGTGGCCCCAGGGCCACAGGTTCTCTGCACCTCTCCTCTGGCCCCTCCTTCCCACTGGGGAGGACCCCAGGGGACTACCGAGTCAGGGAGGGGGACAGGATAGCACTGCAGAGTGTAGTAACGGTGCAGAAAATCAAAGGGATCTGAACAAAGAAAGGGACATCCAGATTTACAACTGAATTGAAATTTAAAACTTGTTTTTTTATACACCTTTAGATAAACAGTAAAGGGGGCAGGGAGGAGAAATCTCTTTGAATAATAATTTCTTAAAAACCCACAAACATAAAAAAAATTCCTCAGTGTTTGAACTTCTCTTAAGAATAGTTCAGTGTGAGGTCTTGCACCCTAAACAGTTATATCTGGAATTTTTTAAAAAATCGCAGCTACACACAACAAAGACTAAGAGTATTTGCTAAAAAATATTGTGTGTGTGTATATATTTATATGTATATATATCTTTTTGTGGAGATTTTTTGTTTTTGTGATTTTTTTCTTTTCCTTTTTTTTTTTTGTGCCCAAGTAGAGATACGATGGGATTGAAACGATGTCCTAGAACAGAATACTCCTGATAGGAACAATACTTTGAAAAATAACAGTTAAATGGTTGAACGAACTTGCAACAGCTCTCCAAATTCAATTTGGTACAATGAGAAAAGAAACAGATTTTCACCGAAATGACACAGCCTCTCAGACTCCGAGTACGCTGCTGGTGTGAGTCTCGCCATCCAAACAGGGGCTCATATTCCAGCACCATCCCCTCCTTCCTACTGCCCCCTCCCCGGCCCCCTCCCACTCCACCTTGGCCATACCCAGAGTCTGCCTTAGAGTGGTGTTCTACATTTCTGGCAAGACCTTGCAGCAAACACACACACACGTATACATGTGCTATGGGCACACACACTACACACACACACACAAAATTTCCCACTCACCCCAGATGCACCAAGTGAGCTGAATGACTTTTCAGCCAACCACAATAGTGAAAGACAGAAGCACCAAACAGTCTTTGAAATGGGTCAGTTATTACAATTTGACATGGGTTTTTTTTATATAGTCTAATTTTCCTCTGTGTTAATATTTTTAAAAAGCACAAATGAAAAATGAAGAATCCTTTCCAGATCAATTTAAGGCTTCCCACCAAATGGAAACAGAAGAGGCCTTACACAGTATCACTCATGATAAATGTATACCTTTCACAGCCTTAAAATGACAGACCAAAATCGTTTTTGCCAGTCACTGATTAAGTATTGTGCCTTTAAATTGATGTCATTCTTTTTGCTACTATGCTGAGTTTTATTATTACTGATTTTCTTGGATTACATACATGGAAATTTCCTTAATTTGCTTTAGAATTTCCTGTTCTCATCGAATTATTGGGGTGGCTTTTTTGTTTTGTTCTGTTTTGCTTTGCACCGGGAAGCAAACGTGCGCTGTACTGGGTGAACACTAACACGGCACGTGGTCAGCCTCCAAGGAGCTTTCTTGGCCATTTGCGTTCCAAACGGCCATTTGGCTCCTGGGAGGCGCTGTTAAGTTGGGGTCCGGGCAGGAGAGAAGGGGGAGGAATCGAAAAGACAATGGGGTTTCGATGCCTTTGCTTTTGGTAAATTGGTTTGTTTTCCTACAAATAATCAGATACGAAGAATGATTGCTTTGTGTTTCATTTGTTGGTTGGTTTTTGTTTTGTTTCTAGATTTGTTTCAATTGATTGTTTAATTTTCCCTCTCTTGGTACAAAAACCACCAGAGAGTTTTGCATGAGAAACCATGACAGTACTTAATGAAACTCAGCACCTAAGGGCATAAGGCAGTTGAAGGTTTGTTTGTTTGTTTGTTTGTGTTTGTTTTGTTTTGTTCTTTCAATCAGCACCAATCCCATAAATGATCTACACTTGGTGTAAGGTATAAAACATTTTTTTCTTTTGGAGTGGAGACAACTCCTCCTTCTCCACCCTATGAAGAATAGTGTGGGATTTTCAATACTGTTTCTTATGTGTAAAAAACAAAAGAAAGGTTTTCTTTTTGTTTTTACTTACAAAACATAGAGAATATCTTTGTATACATACAGCGACTGGAAAGAAAGCTTATCTGAAGGGGTTGTGACTTATTATTTTCTTTTTTTGTAGCAGTGGTGGTGGTGGTGGTGATGGTGGTTGTGATTTTGTGTATTGGGGAAAGGGAGGGTTATATTTCTTGCAAAGCGGCAATTGCCGCAAACCAACTTAAGGTCCCCTTCTCAACTTGGGTCAAGATGCTCTTAGAGTGAAGATTCATACTGTAGCAACTCATAAAGGAGTGGTCCATCTCGATACCGAATGCCTACCGCAGTGGGGGTGACATACTGCAGAATGTTAATAGTCCTTCTCAACCTCCTGTCTACAAAATGAGCATCCCAAGCTGGGTATCTCTTTCTTGGCATGTCAATCTTAATGAGGGGCCCTTCTGGTTGGTAAGGACGCCCCGACGGGGTGGGAGGCCCCATGGGTCTCACTTGGAAAACGGGCAAGCAAGTGTCAGCCGTGAGATCCTCCTGTTGTTCCGTTACGGCTCTGGTAGGCGTGACCTGGGTCCCCCGGTACCCAGGGGTCTGAGGCGCCATGGGCTCAACATCGGGGGGCAAAGGGATGCCCCAGAGCAGCTCGGCACAACAGGAGCTGACTAAGATCTTAGCTCGTGGCCCCATGGGATGCAGCACACCATAATATAAGAGCATCAGTGCGATCCCAGCCACAAAGCTAATAAAGACACAACACAGTGCTGGCACCGCGTAGGAGTCAGTGGTCTCCGGGTTTCTGTAAAAATACCAAAGGAACGTCAAGGCAGCATTCTCGGTCAAGACTATCGTATAATAGGCAAACATTCGATATCGAGTCCGCCCTTCCTTGACGTTAAACCAGCAGAAAATGTACACAATCCCTACCACCATGTTGAAGAGGATCTCCTCCCACTTGGACATGCAGAAGTCTGTTCCGCCATGGATGATCCAGAAGGCCATGGCGCACCAGTGAACCACCACGAAGATCCCGAAGTAGAGCTGGAAGATGGAAGCAAAGAGGGCAAAAGAGATAACTCTGGATGAGATGGTGAAGAGGCGCCAGAAGAGGTGGATGAGGGCCCCTCTGTAGCTCATACTCTTCTTGTCGTCCCTGGAGTCCCGCAGCAGCTTGTGATAGGAGGCTAGCACCCAAGCCAGGGACATCAGGGAAGTCACAGAGGAGACACCTGCCGGAAAGACACAAACCCACACAGTCAAAATCTTGGATGTCAACTGCAGGGCACAGCATGGCTGCCAGCCGAGGAGACGCCCACACACACCACGATCTAAAGAAGGAGGGAGAAAGAAACACAAAATCAGGAACCGAACTTGGAGGTCACAGTTATTCCCTAAGCTGACAGCTTTGAAATCTCATTTTTGTTTCAACAACCCAGCCCAGAACTTCTAGAGATTCACTGCTCAAGGGTAAAGCTGAGGCTGACATGCATGCCCCATCGAGGGGCTGAGAACAGGGGCCACGGTGGTGGTTCATGACTTCTGCTGTGATGGGACCACACATGTTCTATTTTAAGGAATCCTGAGGTCACAGGATCCTTGTGCAGACAGATGTATGGCAAGGGATGGTGTCCTTGTCATCGGCAGCCTATGTTGTCAGAGGAACTCACAGAGGGGCTCACCAATTGTGACGACTGACAGCCTACTCACTGCCCCTGGGTCCACAGCCCTTCTCCTTTTGGAAGGCACTGGAGTCGCTCTTTTGCCTTTTCACCGGCTCACTCAAGGGCTCGGGAGTCCTTCACCAAACCTTCCTCCACGTAGTTTCTCCCTCCCTCATGCATTCCCCAAGGCCACCCTGATCAAGGACCCTGGAGTTTCCTGTCTGTCTGCTGACTGCCTTCCTCACTTCTTCTTCTCTCCCTTGGCCTCCCCAAAATCCTCGTTGCTTTCTCCATAAACCAGCACTCAGTGTTCTCTGAGGTCTTGACCTGAGAGGCCCCGTCCTTTCTTGGATTCCATCCTGACTCAGCAGCAGGTAACTCATGGTTTGAGGATGCCGTTCCTCCTCACTGGCCTGGTTTCCAAGGCCTCTGCATGTCATTCCCCACGTTTCTCCTCAGCGGGTTAGGGAATGTATCTGATCCCAAGTGATACTTGAATTACCAAAAGCAATTTTATTTATAATGCTGCTCATTTGATATTCGTAACTAAATCAAACTAAACACAATAAATAGTTATTAGAGTTTCTCCAAACCCATCCAAGAGCAAGCAATCATTAGTCAGATATTATCACGCAACCTGCTCTGCAGCGAGATGCCCAATCACCCTTGATGCCCCCCATGCATTATCTTCGCTAAGTCCATCTACCATCTCTTCTGCTTTTCCTTTCTCCCAAAATTTCAACACCAAATGCAACTAAATTCAACTATAGTCCTGAATAGTGTTCCATGGACAACCATCTCCTTCCCACATTCCCTGACCTCACACCAGAGCACAGTTCCATGACATTCTTCCAGGCTGAAATCAATGTCACCTAGTCATTTTCTCTCTTAGGCTTCAAGGTCAGAGCTCGGAGCCCCATTCCCCAAGAGACTAAGTAAACTGCCCCAGAGCTCCAGACCCTGTTCGTCTTTCCCCAGGTCCCTGCCCACCTCTTCACTCCTCTCCAAACTTCAATGAAGAATCAAAGTCCTCTGTGATTTTAACACCCTCCCTGCACTTGCCCTTCCTTGCCCATCTCACATAGCTCCTCCCTTCCAACATTTCAAGGAGATAGTGCTCCAGCCTGCAGTTTGCAGTAATAGAGTAATAACAAGAAACCAGTATTGTACCGTGAACAGAGAAAAACCCTGGGTAGTTAACTGTTACAATGAGGATGTGTTGATTTTGTAATAATAATGAACAAGACTGAAAACAAATATGGGAGAAAATATCCCAAGTTCTCCATAGGAGCCAATCTTAAAAACACCTAACAATTTTCCTCTCACTTCTTTGGAAAGTTCTGATCACAGTCCTCATGTGTCCTGCTCTGCCCTTTGTACACACAGGACATTTCCACAAGTACCTGCTGAGGGCACACATTCTGAGACCATGTTACAGTGGCTGCACTCCCCTTTTAGCTTCCTCTGTGTGTGTGATCTGTTGGGTTGGGGCAGGGAGGTAAGTGGGTCCCCTTAGGAGTTGCATGATTTAGGCTGTAGGTTTCTGGAGGGCAGGGAATGTGCAGTCACCTTGACAGTATATACCAGGCCTATTAGCATCACTGCAGCATCCTCAGAAACCCCCTCTTAGACATTTCTGTGATGTCACCCCTCTCTTTGTGAATGCACTTCTTGATGTTAGTAGTGATACAGCTCAGATGTACTACTGAACCTTAGTGATCAGAGGGGAATTCTACCAAAGCTGAATGGGAAGACGGCCAACTAGAAGCCAAGGAAAAAGGCCTCAGAAGAAACCAACCCCACCAACACCTTGATCTTGGACTTCCAGCCTCTAGAACAGTGAGAAAATAAATTTCTGGTGTTTTAGCCACCTAGTCTGTTATTTTGTTACAGCAGCCCTAGCAAACTAATGCAGTGCTCTAATTCAATTTTTTTTTACATGAAGAAACAAGATAGCTTTCAAAAATCACACATCTGTCAAGAAGTTGAATCGGGATTCAAATCCAGAGTCTGACTTCGGTGGCCTTGAAAGTGACCACTGTCCTGATGACCCTGCAGACATAGCTTTAGGAGGGGCTGGGGAGGAAAGGAAGTCTAGGCACACTCGGTGCAAAGGATTTGCATCTTTTGCCAAGAGTGGAAAAGAAGTGTATTACCCGTGGGTATCTGAGAGAAGCCCTTGATAATAGAGCTAAAAACCAAACTTGAATTCTACTCCACCTTCCTCGGGAGAGTAACATTCAAACCACAAAAAAAGAGGTGACAGCGATAGAATTAACTGAGATCATTTTCCCTCTGTCAAGTGATTAATCTTCAAAGGCCTGCAGAGTCTTCCATTACAGGGGGAGGAAGTGCGGGGCTTTCCCTCTCTGCAGTGGCTCACTTGGAAGACTTCTGTCTTGCCTGAGGTCAGTCCAAAAGTCAAAGCATTATCCTGGCTAGGACCCAAGCTTATGGGGACCAGCAGTGGAAGCGGCCTCATGGCCCGCAGTGAAATTCTTGGATGGGCCTGGGAGCATTTATGATTCGCTTCCAACTATGGCTCTATCACTCTCTGCATTCCAAAGATCAGGCTGGAAATTGTTAAACAGTTCACGTTTGGCTGTGACAAGTTCCGGGCAGTGACCTTCATGCCTTGCTCACTTCCCCTAGTGCAGCCCAGGAGGTGGGGCTTGCAGCTGGCCCACTGAGTTGACTGGAGTCCAGCTTAGCCAGCTAGGCAGCACTAAGTTGAAACCTCACTGGGGGGTAGGGCACTCCCCTCCCCTGAGAAAGGCTTGGGAGAAGGGCCTTCAGGCTCTGATCACCAAAACTGGGAGATAAGGCTTCCAGAAATGGACTGGCCACACCTATAGCCAACAGAACAGAGCAAGAGGGGCTGCACCTTGCAGTTGGACATCCTTTACCGAGGAGAGGAAGTCCCAATTTGGTAGTGTTGTCGCAGTATTCAAGGGTCACTGTCAATGGAACTGTTGCCAATTGGGAAACAAAGCAAAAAGCAGAAAATGAGTGTGGCTGTCCTGTCATGTGAGAAACATAGTGACAGGGTGTCTGAGAAAGGACAGGGCTCTGAAATCGGAGGGTGGGGGCACATAAAGTGGCAGAATCAGGAGGCTCTGATGCAATAGGAGGGATCTGGGACAGCAGGAGGGCCAGCCACCAGGGTAATGTAGAGAAGCTGAATTCTGGCAAGTAGAAGGCAGGGCCATGGCTCAGAATGAGTCGGGGCGGCACTGAGAGGCCCATGTATGGGAGCCCCAGTGTGGGAACCAGAGAGGGAACTTGGAGGAGAAACCAGATGTTACAGCATCTCAGTGGCAGAAGGCAGCATTTGGGTGTGAGGGGTGCTCTGAGGACCCACGGGAGTACCTGCAGATGGCTACGAGACTGCTTCTGAGTGAGAGTGTGGGGGTCAACAGCAGCACTCTGTTTTGTAGAATCAGATGTGCACACCCAGGTCTGTCACCAGCTGCCCTCCTCCACCCTCTGCCACAGAGAGCTCAGTCCCACTGCTACATCACACATTGGAAAAACAAAGAAGAGGGTTGGACAGGCGCTGAGCACAGGGTAGGGCAGGGGTAGGAAGAGTCAGCCATGAAGGGACTCACAGCTCCCTCTCCCCTGGCTCCTTCCCATCACATGGTCAAGTTCCTCCTGTCTTACAAAGAGTACCTCCCTGGACCCTGTGTCCTCTCCCCATGCAATCTCGTCTTTGTCTCTCTTCCTCCAACCTTTCCAACGGCAATTGCCTTGCTCCCTTCATTCTCCCACCTCCCCTTTCCTCCTGATCCCCCAACCCCGATGGAGAGTTCTCATTGAGGTGGTTAGTTCCTAAGAGCAGCATTAAGAGGACTGGTTTGTGCACTCCTCCTGCGTGACACTGGCACTTGGACCCACTCTGTCCTTCTTTACAGTTATGGCATCCTTTCCCTGCTGGGCTATTACTCCCACTTAACAAATGAGGAAGCTGAATGTGAGGTTAAAAAACTTAGATGTGGCCACACCTACGTTCTGACACTGGATGCTCACCTAATTTGTAGGACGTTGTACCTTGCTGGGTTGGTCCCCTAAAGATCACCAAAACCAAGGAACATGCTCAACTGGCTATTTGTCTGTCTGCATGTCAAGGTCAACATCTCCCTCTTTTTACCCTTGCCTCCTTCCTTCCCACCACTGAAGCTAATGTTTGGGGGGAAATCCACCACCTGCTTTTCAAATTCCTGTTGTGTTTTTTCCCCACATTGAGTTTCTTTTAGATGGGCATTCCCTTTCCGCCTGTCAAACTTCACCCTATCTTCCTGCATTTTTTTAAAAAAGCACAGTCTTTTCTTGGAAATGCTCCCGGAAAAAGATAACACAGCTGTGTGCATGGCTTCTGTCCTCACCTCCACCCAGGCGCACAGCAAGGGGGTGATGGCAAAAAAGTACTTTACTAACCAGGCAACCACATGGAAAGAAACAGGCCCCATGGGTGCCCTCTAGGAGCCAGGATCAAAGACTTTTTAAGTAATTTGGCCAAGGTTATGTACACAGTGAGCAAGAACTCTGACAGTGAGCCCTGGGATTAT